TTAAATTGACTGAACACAGTGCACAGTGTCAACATGCAATGAGCCTACAATATGAATATAGTCGTATGGGATTGGGATGCATAATTTTGTTCAAATGCTCAGGGTGTGAAATGGAGTTTAAATTGAACACTCAGCCTAAATTGAAGGGACCAAAAGGCAAGAAACGTTATGCTGTCAACATAGCTGCAGTTTTGGGAACCATGAGCACTGGTGGTGGTTCATCACGTCTAAATGAATTTCTGGCTGTGACTGGCATACCTGGTCTCAATAAAAGTTCTTTTATTGAAATTGAAGGTTTTGTACGGGAGAAATGGTATGACAAGCTGAAAGAGGAGATGGTGCAAGCAGGGCAGGAAGAAAAATCAATAGCTGAAGTTAAAGGTCATTTCAACGAAGGAGTGCCTTATATAACTGTCATTGTTGGTGGTGGGTGGAGTAAACGGTCATATAAGCACTCCTATAATGCTAAGTCAGGTGTGGCAGTCATCATTGGTAAAGAGACTGGAAAATTATTATTTTTGGGCATCAGAAATAAATACTGCAGCACATGTGCAATAGGCAAAAATTTAGGAAGAGAAATTCCAGCACATAAATGTTTTTTAAACTGGTCTGGATCCTCAAAAGCTATGGAGGCTGATATTATCACAGATGAGTTTTGTTGTTCTGAAAGATATCATGGTTTACGGTACATAAATGTTATTGGTGATGGTGACAGCAGTGTTATGAATAAAATACAGGAGTGTGTTAAATATGACAGAGTGTAAAAAGGTATATTGTGCAAACCATGCTGTGAAATGCTATCGAAGTGCCCTGTATGAGATTTGGAAAAAACATCTAACCTGTAAAGGAAGAGGTGGGCTTACTGAGAAACTGATAAAAAGACTGGCTTGTGGTGCAAGATGTGCCATCCGTATGCATTCCAAAAGCTTAAACGTAACAGCTTTGAAACATGATCTCAATAATCTACCCAATCACTGTTTTGGTGATCACAAAGTTTGTAATGCTGCTTTCTGTAAAGATGCACAGAAAAATATCACCACTGCAGGTGCTACTTTCACATCAGTTCCAACCACCTCTCAGCAATCTGCACCGTATACAAGTACACAGTCCCAGTCATGTGATAACAACCCACTAGACACATATGATGACATCAATGATAACCACCCACAACATATTTTGTCTGTTGTCCATGAATATGTGAAGGATCTAGTAACTGATGATTTTGATGAAGTAGATATGGAAGATGCGCAATCAGCTGAATCATATATATTGAACAAATTACCTGTTGGTTTATTTGAAGCTGTAAAGAAATGTGGTGATCATTTAGTTTCGCTTGCAAATGAACTTGTGCAAAATACAACGAGCAACAGAGCTGAAAATTATATGTCAATCAAATTGAAGTTTGAAGGAGGAAAAGTTATTAATCGCTCCAATTCTGGATCATATGGTTTCCGGTGTTATGGTGGTGGATTGAGACTTCAGTGTGGAACAAACTGGTTGATGGATAGTTGGCATAGTATATTTCAAGAGTCTCCATCTGATGTTTTAGCTCAGTATGGTCAACAAAAAGAAACTGTTTATATTGGTGCTAAAAAGAGGGCAACCAGTGATGAAGCTAAACAAAAGCGCAAGAAAAGGAAATATGCTGTCTCTGCTGCGAAACTAGACTCAAATTATGGTCCAGATGCATCAAGTCCTGATATTAGTGAGCATGATCTTAACGAACTTTGTCAACAGTTTGTGACAAGACTGGATGTGACCAAAAAACAACAAAATAGAATTGAACAAGAAACTATAGGCCAACATGATAATGATGTGTACAGGGAAATGAGAAAAGATCGGCTTACTGCTTCCAATTTTGGAGAAACAATAACAAGAAGAAAATCTACACCTTGCTCGCCTATGACTCTTCGACTTCTCTATTCTACATTTAGTGGAACTGAAGCTACACGATGGGGAATCAGTAATGAGGCAACTGCAGTGGAATCCTATCTTAAAATCAAGCTAAACACTGTCACAGCAAGAGATTCTGGGCTCTATATTGATACACAGCATGGCTGGTTAGCAGCATCACCTGACAGGGTTGCCACTGATCGAACTACAAATGAAAAGTACCTACTTGAAGTGAAATGTCCCAAAACAGCTGAACAAAGGGCATTCACACCTGGAGAGGCTGTTGGAAATATTTAAAGTTTCATGCTTAAAAAACAAACAGATGGCACAATTCAACTGGACAGAAAACACAAATACTATAAGCAAGTACAGGGACAGCTGCATATAACAGGATTTCAGAGGTGTGATTTCATTGTGTGGACTCCTAAGGGGACATACATTGAAACCATAAAAAAAGACAACAAATACTGGGAAGAAAACATGTATCCAAAACTACATTGGTTTTACTTCAACTGTCTTCTTCCTGAGCTAGCTAAACCAAGACATCCTTCCCAACCAATAAGAGAGCCAATTGAGTTTTTAGAGGCTAAAAAGGAAAAAAAAAAAAAAAAATTCCAAAAAACAAATACACAAGAGACAGCCTCCTTTCAGTGACAAACGTCAAGATAAATGAAACAGTAAAGTGACAGGTAATGTATATCTTACAAATGTCAGGTCAAGACATGTATATCAAAACATCCAGTTTATTGATTACTAACTGAAAAAATGTATGCGTAACTCAAAACATTGCGTTTTGTATTATGCTTACTAACCAATAGAGCAAATATGGTACTATTGTTTTTGTCCTCATTTGTAATATGCAAAACATCATGGCAAGTAGATATTTGGAACTGGCAAGTAAATTCTTAAGCTTGTGACCAACATTGTTTGCTTGTTAGCCTGAGGTTTCAAGCAAAACAAAATTAAATGTTAATGACTTATAATTTTTTCTTATTTTTTTTTCACAGATGAATAAAGTCCAGTCCAGTCCACTCCAGTCGAGTCCACTGAAACCCAGATATCTAATCCAATATGTGGAATTTCCCACACAAACAAAGCGGCCCTTTTCAGGGCCACCACATCCTCCAGAAAGAGAACTATCGTAATACAAAATTTAACAATGATAAATAAATAAATAATACAGTTTGCTCTACTCGAAGCACATTTCTAATACAAGCAAGCACATTTTAAGCACAAAATTCCTGAATGGTCAAGAAATACAAGGTACGCAACAAGGTACGCAAGCCCAATCACTTCTTGTAGAGCATATATATTTGCTTTGCTAGAAGTGTTTATGTAAATAATATTGCAGCATACAAACAAATAGATGTATGATTTGGTTCAGATGTGCTTTCTCTATTTGCAATGTCCAATAGAGCAAATATGGTTAATGCTATTTTCACACTACACTAGTTATCCTGTGAATATCATGGCAATTGTATAGCATAGTAACACAACTACTACGATAAATACTATCTGATGTGATGTGGACTATATAATATCCCGCAAGTGGCTGACAAATTTTGTTGTGGGTAAATTTCGAAAATAAAAAAAAATCTATCTCCATAGATCCCATACACCCAATATAAATAATATGAAAGAATTTTCCTAATGTGCCAACAAATACCATTTTGGTGTATTGTAAGTAGACGCTGTACACCACGAACTGATAGTTGGATATTATATTCTTCATAATGCAAAATAAGAACAAATCAAAACAAATGTTAAAATATAGTACACTTGTTTTCATACACAGTGATGCCCTGTTGTGACGGGCTGTCATGGTAACTGGTGTTCAGTTCAGTAACTTGGATGTTGAGCTGGATTTATTTTTGCCTAATCTATGAACTGGTATCCAAGCTCAACCAAGGTTCCCAGCCCATGTTTATATTGTAAAAACGTTCATAAAACAAATTTTTATTTCATGTTTCTCACAATGTCAACGCTTTAAATAATTTGTCAACGAGCTGCAGAAACAATTTAAATGTTACATTTGCAAAATTTCCTAATTTGTAACAGTTGAATACTGCCATACTGGTATTGTAAAATGCATTATAAACCGGATCAGTTCATTCCATTCCAACTAGCGTGCGAGTTCAGTGCTGAAATTTACAAACCAGCTTGAACTAATCAATACTATATACTCATAAAGGTGACTATTCTGTCATTTATAGAACCAAAAGAACAGTCGCAATAACGTAAAATTACAGTCCCTGTGGTAAAATCAAACGCGGCGGTCTCTTGTCCGGTACTTCCGCATTGAGATTAATTTGACCTTTCATGAAAATTCATTACCTATATGTCATTTTCGGAGTCGCTCGGGGTGCTTTATCTCGATCACATGTTCAAAATTCAGCCTGATTTATTCACTAAACTATAGGTACCCGGATGATAATGTGTTCCTATGGCGGTAGCACAGAGTCTGGCCTAGCGATGTTTGGTTTCCGATTTTCGATCGATTAACTCGTTCTTGACTTGCGGCGTTTCTCCTGATACGTGAAAATGGTAATTTTCGCCCAAATGTTGACCATTTATGGTGTTTTTAGAGTTATTTAAGAAATATTTTTGCTGATTCACTTCCAAACATCGATAGGCCATGTTCTAATGTGTGTGCTGGTGCCTGGGTTCGGCTGATCTACGGAAGTACATGGGGTAAAAAGGTCGGCGAGTTTATTTTCACCAATTTCCACCTAATTTCCAACATAATATACATGTAGTATATTTACGAAATTATTTGCGTTGGTCTATATTTTTTTTTCCCATACATCGATTTAGTTGTGGCTCACGGACTTGTGGTAGAAATTTCATTTCGATCAGATATTTAATTTTGTTGTTAAAGCTAAGGAAAGTCAACGATGCGTGTTGATGTTGCCTGGGGCGGCTGATCGCTGGGCGTGTACCTTAAAACTCATTCTCATCGTTTTTTGAAACGTAGAATTCATTAGCCGAATCACTCAAGATGCTGAAACTGTCTATTCATGATATTTATTTGAATGAGATGCATGTACATTTACATAATTTAAATAACAGTTAATTTATGATCTCATAATACAGTACACCTCACCCACTTACTTTGTAAATATAAATGGTATCAGATGACCAAGATGCATTGCTTCTGATGATGGACCTCTACCAGTGTATAGAAAAAATGGTTTCTTGTTTTCAAAATCGTTCAATATCAAATTCATATCTCTGTACAAAAAAAAAAAAAAAATAAAAAATCAATATTTTTATACCAATTTAATAAATCAATAAATAAATCAATTAATAAATTTAGGATGACTAACACACTCATTAAAACACGCCTACATTAATTAATCAGTATTCAGAATAATGATTGTGGTGGTGTAAGTGTGTCAGGAAAACAAATCATTGTGGCAGTATCGCTTCACTGTTTGTACTTTTGAAAAAAAAAATGGAATCTATAGTCTCTCTATGCATGAGCTTTTTTCCATTGCACATATCTATAAAATCCACTAGATATATTTCAATTGTTTTTTGAAGATATTTGTGTTGAATCATAATTTTTTAATGAAGAATCATGGTTAAACCCCCTTAGACCTGTATAAAAAAAATACTTAGTACATTTTTTTTGTATCCCATGATTTTTAATCTATTGTAAGCAACTACATGTAAAACAGAAATAAAAGATGTTTGTGAACTTTGACCCTGTCTCCATAAAATTGTTTACCTCTGAGAAAAGAATATTCCTCTACTTAGGAAATGGTGCGGTGGTTTCCCAGTCAGCTTTTCAATTCTTTCCAATAATGCCGGTTGAATCTTCTCACTGCCAAAGCGCTCTAAAATACAAAAATTATAGTTTTGAGGTAGGGGGGGGGGGGGTGACAGGATTTCCATTGACTTATGCATTACACTTTTTATTTAATTGCATATTTTTTGAATAGCGATTTATCATTTGTGGATTTCACTTCTGTTTCGAGTCAATTACTGCATTCACATTTGCAGCAATTTAGAATAAGGCGAATCCATCAATTCATACGATAACATATACCACATAGTGCTCTCAAAACCACCAACAATAACCAAAACTTTTACATTCATTTTAAAAACTTTCAATAAAACTATCAACTTACTTATAAGTTTATCATAATCTACGCCTTTAGACGATGTGCTGGTGACGTTCCATGGATTGACTACGTCGTTAGAGTCGTTGGATTTATTCTCGTCTTTGATAGTCAGATCCTCCACCGTTGACGTGGGGATTTCATTTTTTGCCATATTGCAGCCTTAATACTATAAACATGAACCGATCACTGAATCACGTTCTATAACGTCCAATTGAATTTCCCACACTGTAACCGTGATTTTTATAGTTATCGATATCAGCAGTTATTTCATTGGATTGCATTGACACGGAACTTTGACAAATTTACGAGTAGTGCTCTCAATATTGCATCAGCAGTAATACAGGAAGTGCTTGTTAGGTACAAGGTGACCGCGAACCTGTTTTTGTATTACACCAATTATGATTGGTTGGATTCTGAAGAGAGCAGTATCGAGCAAGTTGATTGGTTTGACAATTTTTCCCACAGTTCAGTGATAATTAACATGGCTGCGCCCATGTTTTAGTGTTGCGTTGTAGAAACAACACGGTTTTCAAGTAACAACATACTGTCTTCGGATAAACTCACTTTTCGACGGAGTTTCTGTGTTAGTATGGATGCCCTTCAGGCATACGACAGTTCCGATTCCGAGGGAGAGCCCGAGGTTGTCCCACAAAAAGAAGTACATAGTGGGCGTAATGAAAGTAGGTCAGACCGCAAATCGGAACAAAACCAAAACACTCAAAAAAAGACGACTGGGCTGTCACCAACTCAGCATGTAGTCGAGTTACATTCCCGATCTACTTTAACTCAGCAAGATTCTAACAGATGGCAGCAATCACAGACTGGATACGCGCCAAGTTTGCAAGGTCAGAGTCATGTGTCAAATGATTGGAAAGCGTCGTATGGCCATCCCACTCTCAGTCAAGCAGGACATCCCCCGCCTCATACTGGTACTCATCATGGGACCCATCATCACCATAGTGATAATTCTACCAACATGTACCAAAGACCTCCTCTCCCTCATACTGGTACTCATCGTCCCCACAGTGATAATTCAAACTGGTATGTACCAAAGACCACCTCCCCCTCATCTTGGTACTCACAACCCCCACAGTGATAATTCTGCCAGCATTTATCAAAGACCACCTCCCCCTCATACTGGTTCTCACAACCCCCACAGTAATAATTCTACTCACATGTACCAAAGACCTCCTCCCCCTCATACTGGGACTCGTCGTCCTCACAGTGATAATTCTAGCATCATGCACCAAACACCCTCTCCCGCGCATACCAATACAGATCATTCCCACAGTGATATTTCTACCAACATGTACCAAAGACCTCCTCCCCCTAATCATCATCCCCACAATGATAATTCTACCAGCATGCATCGAACACCTCCTCCTCCGCATACTGATTCTCATCGTCTCCACAGTGACAATTCATCAGACATGTACCAAGCACATGAGTACAGTACGTACCCTGAAAATGCTAGGACTCGTGATCAAAACAGGTTTAGTTCAAACTATGCAAGAGATTCTAGCACACCAAGTACACATGAGCATCAAAAGAATGTACAACAAACTTTCCATGAAATGTCCCCACAACACCAAAGACACCACCGTGAAACAAATCGACCACCTCCCTCACTGCTCTCATTACAACTACCGCCAAATGTTGGCCAACAGAGAAAGGACAGCTTTGCTCCGGGCAAACATCAAGCGTATCCACCAGAGCTGAAAAGGCCACCTCGTTTTTCACAGCCAAGTTACCATGCAAGACAGTCTGTATCAGACAAAGCTACTACTCATCAACCAAGTATACCAATACATCGTTTGCCTTCAGACAATTTGCCCAAACCTGCAGCCAGCAATATGTCACCTGAGCTGAAACGATCTCGTCTGTTAAAACCTGACTATCTCTATGAAGCTGGGCAGAGGCAAATATCCCCACCTGATTTCAGGAGAGATTATCACAGTGAGCCAAGCAATACCACTCCTGAGATGAATAGGCCTCGTCTTTTACAACCTGACTATCTGAAAGCATCTGGTCACAGCCAAACACTCTCACCGGACTATAGAAGAGGACCAGGTCTTCTGCAGCCTCAACATCTGCATAAATCACACAACACTGTAGAACAACCACAACAGACATTCAAGAAAAGAGTACGACAAAGTCGTTGGTGTCCAGTTGAATCTAACCCTCAAACTGATAACCCAGAGAGAAATGTTGAAGATAATTGGAAGCATGATGGAAACATTTCTCAAAGTTTAGGCCCACCTGCTAACTTTGAACTTAAACCGTATGTGCCGAAAAGATTTCAAGACAGTGGAGAACAAAACAATGGAAAAGCAGTAGATGTTGGAACTACTGACAATGCAAGAGAAAAAAATGATGCTGACACTCTTCTGCCCTCATTGACATTAAAAACTCCTATAGTAGTGATTGCTGCCATCAATGAAGGAGTGGTTGATAGACTACCAGTGAAACAAGCAATCAACTTAGCTGGTCACACGTCTGCAGTGAACCACATCAAATGGAACGTCAGTCAGTATAGCCATCTTCTTGCATCAGCATCCATGGATAAAAAAGTTAAAATTTGGGATGTTATAACTGATAAAAAGTGTGTACAAACATTATCATTTCACACTGCAGGAATCAAAGATATCAGCTGGAATCACAGTGGTAAACAATTAATAAGTTGTGGGTTTGATAAAAATGCAAGATTGTGTGATGTTGAAACAGGTAAGTTGTGCGGTTATACTAGAATGTATCTACATAATAATTGAATACAGTCAATTCTATAAAGACATGAATGTGTTTTTTTTATATAATATTTATGAATGTTTTATTAATTTCAAATGATTATTGAAAACAACACAAGGCATTAACAGATGCATGACACAAAATTGGCCAATAATTGAAAGAAATTTGCAAAGACTTTTGGGTAATGGACACTGTTAAATGGCTTCTATAGCCAATTGACTAATTAATTAAATTAAATGCTAGGGTCTTCCAGGGTACATATTTTATGAATATTTTCATAAAAAAAAAACATTTTTGCCTTCATTAAATTATTAACTGTGCTTGTGACAAGATTCAATTTGCTGAAAATATTTTCTGTGAAAAACTTATCAAGAAACACCTGTAAGTTGTTTGTTGGTGCCCCACTCCATACAAATTAGTCTGAAGCATTTAAAAGTTTTTGACTTTGAAATTGGGTGACCAAAGTATGCTTTTCTAGCTCAACTGTCATTATAGATGAAGCAGTTCATGTACATGTAGGTCCATTGTTGTCTGTCAACAATTACATTTTCGACTTCTTGAATACTACCGGCTCAATTGCTTTGATACGTAATTTGTGGGCCTATGGGTTGACCTCCATGAGGCAACAACCAAAGAAACTACCATGGCTGTGATATGGCTGTAACCATGGCAAATAATTAATATCTCATCATACAGAGCATTATCAACTTTATTTTGAAAAAGGCACTACAAAAATAGCGAAGCTATTTTGACCGCTAGGTCGCTTGTTTCTATCTAGGTCAAGAGTTGGAGTGCTTCAATCATCCATCTTATGTGACGTGCATCAGATATCATCCGCAAGAACCCAATGTTTTCATCAGTGGTATATATGACTCTGCAATACTGTGTTGGGATATTCGATCTAAAAAGGTAGGTACTGTAGGTAACTAGTATTAAAATAGTATTTAGCATGTTTGCCTTGGAGTGTTTTCCCATAGATGAACGTTTACTCGGCAGTATAAATCAGAGTACTGTACAAAGCAGTATATTAAATTATGGGAGACTGGTTCACACTTGCAATAAGCACTACCAATGTGAAACAGCAGTTACTATAGGTTTCACACCATAATTATCATTTGTATCAAGAACGAAGATTCACTTAGGCATCTATGAATATCATCTACACTATTTTAAAAACAATTTTTACAATTGTATGCTTGTATTCATTTATGTTAATATACCAACCCTTAGATTTAGATTTGTAAGTGTAATTTTAGCGTAACCCAACTGGTTTCTAAATGATGGACTAATACATTTAGAGCGAGTACAATGCCAATTACCAAATATAATCTCAGGACTCCTTACAGAAAAAAAGTGACTGCAACTGTGTTGTGGGAGAAATAAAATGTCAATGCATCAGGTGGCGTGGACACATGCTCAGAATAGAACAAGTCAGACTATGTCCTGCAAGTAGATCTAAAGTGGATGCCCCAAAACATGGCATACAGGGTCTGATAGAAGTAATATTGTGGTCTTGTGTCCCAAATGGGGTAGTGAGTGGTAGTAGTCGTAGTGAAAGACACAAATGAAATTATCCATTGTGAGGTTTTTGTTGACTTTATGACCTTTAATTTGATACTTCTTTTCAGGTGGATACAATTTCTCCTTCATACTTAATTTTCCCAATAATAGATGTAATATTATGCTTTATTTTAGATTATACGAGACTACAGAGGCCAGTTTGGTCAAATTTTGGATCTTCAATTTATGTCAGGTGGTTCTGAATTTCTTTGTTCCACTGATGTTGTTTCTAGAGATTCCTCTGACAGAACCATTATTGCCTGGGATTTCCAATCTGGAGCTGTGTTATCTAACCAGATCTACCATGTAAGTGCCTGATTAGTTTATCTGTGTACCGGGTACTAATAAATTCTGCTTGTTTCCTTGGTTACTAATATATATTACCGGTAGCACCATTTCAAGTATAATGGTTGAGCTTTCTTTTGAGTCGTGTTGTCATATTAGTGGGTCCTCTATTCAGCACCTGGTATGTTTTGTGTTCTGTCCATTAAGTTCAACATCATTTCTATGACATGATTTTGTTTAAAGATTGTACAAAGATAAATTTGTTTTTGGTGTTATTGACCTTGACTGACGACCAGAAATCAACATTTATCACCAATTTCTCAGGCATGCCTGGCTGATTTCATGGCATTTGTCTCGCACATGTAGGGTTGCCAGTACACATTTCTTTTTTCAAAATGTTATTCAAAATGGCCAATTATGCGGAATTAGAGGTATTAGTTCACACGCGAATTAAGCAAAATTCAAGATGGCACCATGCTTGTTTACAACATTGTTTGACCCACGATGATGGAATAGCGTCCTTAATAGTCTTATACTGTTTACAAACAATTTTTGTTTGAGCTGTATTGGACAAAATGGAACCGACTTGTACCAATTCACAAATGGCTTTTGGTGGTAAGATTTGATTTTTGTGATTCCATATTTTACAAATTGACGTTGAAATAAAACATTTCCATTTGTAGGAAGTAACGAGTGGATTATAGAACAAGGGTTGATGATAAATATCTTTGAGTGTCTGTGGGATGGTGTGTATATGGTCTGCAATAGTCGCCCAGGCTTGCAACATTTCAGAGTAAAATTGAGGCAGATTACTTAGTTTTCTGATATCAACTGCACATGTGTTGCCACTGATCAAAATAATCTGAAACCCTATTCAAACTATTTTCAGTTTATTGCCAGAGAATGATTGCCTTATCATGAATGTCATGTCTGTCTTGTTTTGCATAATTTATGAAGTCAACAAACAAAATGGCACCAACCATTGACCCAAAGCGTGTTTTGCTCGCTATAAATGGGTGTATGTTCTCTAGTTATTTTACAATTTGAATTTAAATAACTGGTGGTCATTTTCAGCTTCAAAAGTAAAATCACAAAATATTAACTATGTCATCAACCGTTTTTTTTAGCCAAACTTTGTTTGAATATTACACGTGACAGGTTACTGATGTATGTCAATTTGTTTGTGATTTGAATACCATGTGTTTTTTTATCATTTCTCAAACACATCTCGACAGATTTTGTGGTAGGTTCAAAGACAAGATATAATTGATATATATGCACAAATATTTCATAATATTTTAATTAATGAATGTAGTATAAAAAATGCCCATAAATCATCACCAACTTTTATTCATTTAATAATTGCTTTAAATTTTCACACATAACCCACTCTTTGACTTGAGATGTCTGGTGTTTCGCTCATAAGAGATCATTTTGAAAACATTACTAATGAGGACTGTTACAATGGCTTGCTTATCATGATTTAGTTACTCTGGGGGAAGGGGAGATGGTCGGAAAAGTAGGCTATGTAATGTTACAAGGTCTTAATAGCACATCCAGCAATGGGGCTCTAGATTTCACAAAATTCTAATGTTCCCCAAACTAAAAGCAGTATTTAGCGACTCCTCTACTCTGGTGTTGTCTTTAGAAACAATCTACTTCATTCTTACTGTAGCTCTAACCTACATGTAGATACAAATGTAAACATGACAAAACAGCCTCTAGCAAACATGGTCATATAGCATTGATAAAATTATGTGTATACAGTGCCATTCTTAGCACATTGATACATCCCTTAAATGCTTAATTGTATATATATGTGATTCACAGGAGAAGTATACATGCCCATGTCTGAGAGTTCATCCGTGCGACAATTCATTCATTGCACAGAGCAATGGAGATTATATTGCTTATTTCTCAACTATCAGGCCATATAAAATGAACAAAAACAAACGATCGGAGGGACACAAGGTGAGTATTGTCCACATCACCAATGGAATTACATCTATCTTGGATAGTGGAAGGAAATATGTTGATTCTTGTTCTATTGATCCTTGTTCATGAATGGTGTTGGCGTTTCACTCTTTCTTCAAAGCATGTCATAAATTTATCTAATTTAAATTCACTTGTGTGTAATTTGGACAGGTATCTGGATATCAAATAGGATGTGATTTCTCCCCTAATGGTAAAATGATTGTAAGTGGAAGTTCTGATGGTAAAGTTTATTTCTATGACAACAAGACAGGGAGGCAGGCCCACCAAATGGAGTGCCATAAAGAAGCCTGTACAGACGTAGCATATCATCATACCATATCTGGCATGGTTGCTACATGTAGTTGGGATGGCAGCGTCTCAGTTTTACAGTAATTTTAGACCATCCTGTGTAGATTTATACTCTGAGGTCTTTGGACAGATGGTGCAAATATACATGCTTAGCAGGACACATTCAGACTCAATTTTGGAACACAATTTTAAAAACTTGAAGCTCTACTGCTATACCACATTGTGTTCATATTAGACCCATGCAAAATTCAAACACACATTGAGTGGGGTGACATATGGACGACATATTGTCATGAACTTAACATTTTAGCAAATGAACGTCCTTGTGGAGCAGACAATATTGAAATTGTTTATAAAACCATATCACGTACATGTAATTGACATGATTGCAACAGTGTGATGATACCATCTCATCTCTTCTCAAAATACACGTAAACGAAAGCTCCTTGGGTCATTTGACAATATATTCAATGTAAAATTCTAAATATTGTTTTTTGGTTCACTCGCGAGATATCCACTTGAACATTATACCTTATTTCATAGATTTGCCAATTTTCTTCAAATTCTAAGGAACTATTCAAATTTTATATTTTGTACTGGTTTGTACTGTAGCAGGAATTAATTTGTGCTGAAATTGCATTATGGCCATTTGTAGCAAGAACCTTTTTAGTCCCCGTTTGGACACAGTCCGAAAACGGGGACTTATGTTTTGACCTCAGTCCGTGCGTGCATGCGTCTGTGCGTCCGTACCTGTATCTTAGAAATGCCTGGACCAATCACAATCAAACTTCACACATACATCATACATGATATTATACATATGCACGTCAATTTGTTTCAAGATCTGATTCAAGATGGCCGAATGGCGGCCATTTTTGTGCTAAAAATCATCATAATTAAGCATTTCTCGGCTGTTTACAGATGGATTTTGTTCAAACTTGGTATATACATTAGACATTATGGGACCTTGATGCAAATAATTTTGTTTTTCAGATAAGATTCAAAATGGCCAACTGGCAGCCATTTTGTATTAATGAATGTGGTTCTCGTGCCATATCTCTGACTTCCTTTCACTGATTATGTTCAAATTTTAAATATTCATTATACATCATGTCATAGATAGACAGATATACTGGTTTGACGATCCTATTCAAAATGGCCAAATGGTGGCCTTTTTTGTGTTAAACAATAATCAAATATCAAGCATTTCTGGCATTTATGGATGGATTTCGTTCAAACTTGGTACATATATTA